GCATGGACGTCGACGAGCTCAAGGAGAGCGAAGGAATTCCCGTACAATTCCACATTGGCATCTCGGTCCTGCGCACCCAGGATCTGCACGACAAATGCCACTTGCCTTTATCACACGCAGATTCTGACCCCTACATTATCCGATCCTACCACTGGGTTGTCGAAGATGAGAATTATTTTTCAACCCATGACAATACTTTTTGCTTCGGGAAACATCGCTGTCTTCCACTTGCTGACTTGGACAAGCGCTTGAAAAAGCTTCTTGCACGATGCTTTCCACTCGTTCTCGTCGTTCACGGAGGCCATCGTGAAATAACCCTCTTACAAAAACTCAATATCAATCTCAACCCCATTTTCACGATTGACACGACAAAAGCTGCTCGCTACCCACTCCAGGCTTTCTACGACTTTTCGCTAAAAAGGCTTCTGAAAGAGTTCAATATTCCCTTTACTGGCGAACATCTCCACATTGCAGGCAACGACGCACACTTTACACTCAGAGTTTTGCTCATGATTGCCGTGTGCGACGTACGACGGGAGTTGGGGTCAAAAGAGGTTCCGGCATGGGTGCCCGTGTTCGAAGCAATTGCCCGGGCCCCATTGCCCCCGATGCCACTCAAGCGTGCACAAAAGGCAGCCAGGAAACGAAGAGAGGAGAGGGCTGCTCTTGGACTTGGGGGGCCTAACGTTGTGACAAGGTCTCAAAGCCGGCTTGCAGACGCAACGCATCCATAACAACAGTCTTTGCCATCAAAGGTCCTTGGGTTTGAAGAAGACATGGTCGGGTATTCGAGGGGGAGCGGCTTCCTGTGGCTCTGCAGTGGATTCAGGCAGCGATGGGGTGGTGATGCGAGGACCTTTCGACGTTTGGCTGAATCGCCATCACCGGTAACAAGTATAGCTGTTGCTATATTGTTTTTATGTCGTTCACGTACGGATGCGACCAAGGGATAGAGTCGTTGGAGTTCTCGGACGGGATGCTAAGCCCGTTCGTTAGAGACGCCGGAGTGGAAGGAATGTCAGAGGCCGTGATTGGGGCCTAGTGACAAACTCTAGCATGTACGCTGGTTCTCGATTGGTATATCTGCATATTGCTTGCGCACAAGACGATGATGCCAGCGAGTTGGTTGTCCTACACGTAGGGGTAGGCAAAGCGGGCGAGGCGGGAAGCTACACACAGCTTATTTCTTGCCGAGGTGCCGTATTCACTCTACTCGGCCACCAATTTTTATCACGCTTTACCTAAAAAGCGGGCATAGTAATAGCAGGCAAACACATATGTAGGTACTAGTTACCCAGAATATGACCAAATAAGATGACCGAATTCTAGAGACGTACCATGGTGCTTTTGCATAGTATTAGTCAATCTTGGGGTCAAACTTGTTCTCGAGACTATGCAAGTTGGCATGACCTTTTAGAACATTACTCTCACATATTCAGATTAAGTCTTTAACCACCAATGCAAGACATTATATTTGTCCATGCCAGAGTTTCGGTTTATGAATCAATAGGGCTGCTTTTATGTAAAAATGCCGGTAATACACTAAAATGCCCTTGTCTATATCCTAGCATTGACCATCCTTGAGTTACATTCTCTTTCGAGTCGAGTTAGGGATGTTCTTCTGTCTACCATATACTCTCCAACTATTCACGCTTATTTCCAAGTCTTGATAAACTAAAGTCACAGGTTTGGTACGTTTACTGGATGGCTCGGATCTCGATCCTGGGACGGGGATGCCATCATTGACACCATATCTAGCTCTGTTAAGAAACAAAAATACTCATCTGCCGTGTACTATTCCGTCATGGAATGAGTCTTGAGAATCCACGCCTTCTCCATGACATGTTGGTATCCCTGATGTCGAATAAACGTTCTTTACTTGCCGTGTAGGTTTCTAGCTCAAAGAAAACAGCTTACAACCGCTGTGATTGAGTTTTATCAACTTGGCTCATGTATCCTATCAAGACGAGCCATGGGTCCCTTGTTTTGGCTCCGAATGCTTGTGCATTGGGGAAATTCGTGGGGTTTGGAGAAACGACATGAAGCGAGCCAAAAGCGCGGTGCCGTCGTAGCTGGCGCTCTTCCGTGAGGCAATCTCATACTTTTATATCAATTACACAGCATATATCACTCCATTTATTTGAAGTCAAGACGTGTTGCGCAATTTCTTGACATACCTAGTTGAATAGATGATCAAACCATGAGCGAAACAGCGGGATACTACGAGCCATTTAGTCCGTGTACCTTGAATGAAGTACATAATGTCTAAATATGATGATGAGCAATGGACAAACGATACGACGTATTCTCATTCTCCCACAAACAAGTCCACACTGCGTCTTGCAGTGCTTAGCTGAAACAACTGTAGGCCACGGCGTATCGCCTTTAATTTATGGCACGACGATGTCGGCCCTGCAGCGTCTAGTTCTGTGCTGATATCTCTCTTTAGGCTGTACTACCTCACTTTTAACACCGGAAAGAAGCTCACGTTATACGCCATGTCGAACGTCCCCCGGGAAGCCGTCCGATACAGTCTGGTCACTCTTTGTGGGGCAATCATCTAGATTGTTGCCATAATTTGCCAAGTTGCGCAACAGGATCTCAATTCACAACAGTACTCATCTATGGCCATGAAAAAACGCAAGCTCTAGAGTCATCCAAGCCTCTTGCCTGATAACCATTCATGTGCCACGACATACAATCGAATCAGCTCATCCTGTACTTTGACATGGAGTCAGCCTGGGGACACGATGCCCACGCACCAAAATTTTGTCTTTCAACAGTTCTGATCCTTATTCTGCATCCCTAGGTGGAAACTGTTGGAACTAAAACCCCAGACAGTCTGTTTCCAAGATGCCCTACTGCCTTGATGACAACGATGCGGCCCGTGTTGGAGCATCACTTGCTGCAAGATGACGACTTGGTCACTGCAACTTCTGGCAAGACGGTTTCGGCAAGACTGCGACAACCAAGGTCTTATCTAACCGTGAGATATCCTGTCGAGCGTGATGGGTATTGGAACAGATGGCAGGCAATCCTGGACACGCAATTGTTCTTCTTGATGTGAAAATCTGACACTACCACCGTCAACATGAGACAGACTTGCATACGGCTCTGCCTCTGCCGCAGGGCAAGTTTCTCGACTCGGCGGTTGAGCTCTGGGGATGACTGCTTCAAGAAATACACCTGGTCCATGAGGCCTGCCAACTCAGTTCCGCATGTACTCTTCACTCATCCAGGCGACGCGTCCAGTTTTGAAGCAGCCGCGGCGGGAATTGACTAATTTCATCATGACACTGTCATTAACGATCCCAGCCAGAGAGCAGTCTCATCATGCCAAATATGAATGATATCCCATTCAATGCCGATAGATCAAGCGAGGCAAGTCGACAGCTGTCCGCCAAAAGCATTTATATATTCTTAGCTTCAGACCTTGGTTTAGCAAGAGTGTATGTAAAAGGTGTTTCTGAATGGGAAAGTAAGGACGAAACGCATAGAGCACAAGAAACCAATTGGTATATCCAGTATTTCACATATTTGACAACTTTCTTAAGACGTTGCAGGAATCCTTGGAGAGAATTGAAGAAGGAATTAAGTACCATAATCTCATTATTCATCCCTCTTTGAGTAAATAAACGGCTGTTAACTGCTTTAAACGGTTGAACTAGTCCCTGTTGGTGATGTTCTCACTGACAGCTTCAATGCGACGTCGTATAAGTCTCAGACAATGTCAAAGCAAGACGACTATGGTTGGAATTGTTTTTGCACCGGAATATAAATGTCATTTGTAAGACTGGGTGGCTCCTGCAGGCAATGACAGTGAGAAGCGTAGATGGTCGAAAAACGGCTCTATCACTAGCACACCATCGCAGCCATGCAAGTATGCTATTCAGAATAGTGTTGCTAGACTTGGATTGACATACAGTCGTTCAGTTCAACGTTGCCGTCACTTTATACATGGATCCGTCTGACGATGGAGTGACTACAGCCAGTATTCACACACGTGGATGCAGCTAAACGCACGTAACCGACATCATTGCATTTCATCGGGTACATATCATGAAGCTACATATTAGACATGACCTTGACATGTATTATGAAACTGTTAAGAAGGTGCTAATCAATTCTTCAAGGGGTCATTATTGAACAATTTAAGGACTGAGGCTGCACACGGTCTTGAGTCCAAGTGCCGCAGGATATTGCACCAGTTACCACGGCAGAGAACCAGGTGAAAGTCACCGTTCTTTAGCATGCAAGATTGTCGATTTCACTCTCAAAGCCTGAGTAACCACCGGCGCTCTGTATTTTTGTATTTATTCTCACAGCACTTTGTCTGAAGTAAAAGCTGGTGGGCTTGTATGAGAAGTACAAGGGGCGTCTTCACTGGCGATGCGTTGTTTGCCGCATGGCTCTTGTAAACTTGTGAATCGATCCAAATCGTCCATCCTCCGAACCCATCTGCCAAAGTTGGAAGGCGTTGCTAACGAAATGAAGGCTTTGCAGGGTTAAGAATGCCCATAACTAGGTTCTCTTCTACAGTATCATAATAGTTACACTATGGCTTCACTTATCAACATCAGTAACAGCGCATCTAGTCATACTATGCTCTGAATCGGTAGGTAGAAATGTGCTATTTTTCCGCTTGTAAAATACGGCCATGTACTCACTCAACTCGGGCTCTCACAAAGACCTCTTGGACTCGACACCACTGCTTCTCTCCTGTACGACCATATTTTGCAATAGACAACAAAACTCACTACTCTAGCTAGTCCCGCTCAAACACACACCCTTTCTACGCACGAAGGCCTTCTTACAGTCTCACAATGAGCCAACCCGCAAACAAGTCTTAGGTGCCTCAATTCTCACCTGTAACCACACCTCCAACTCACTCTTACATCTAGCAGTCAGCAGAGTGAGGCTTGCAAGTTGCAACACATAGTAGCACGAGGCTACGCCCCCTGCCAAAAAGCAACATTGAAAATACTAAACCATAACCGCCCATGGAAGAATCTCGCTCATCTGCTACGGGATACCAGCACGGAGCACTCGGGGTCCAGACCGCGAATAGGGGGCACCTCCACGACAAATCATCACCACAAAGTAGCGCCGAGTCCCACGAGCACCCATCTGCAATTGAGTTTCAACCAACTGAATCATACCTGCGACGCTGGCGACCCTCGCCGCAGAAACTGGGCGGCCGTCACGCAAAGCAACCACAACTCAACCCCAAGGCCACCCGGCGGCCCAATGCCCAGCGTCGAACTGCCTCAGCTCGCCGCGGCGGCGAAAGCCTCTCGGGCATCAGTCTGTGCGCAGCAGAGCCCGTCACACGCCTCGTCCCGTGCGTAGCAGCCAGATCTCACTGCTGAAGCACGCCGAGGCACAAGATAAATCGACCAGTCATGCGCCTCCTGTCAAACGGGCTCCCCAGTCCCAGTCCCCCCCCCGGGTAAACGCCCGCGGAGCGTCGTATCGGTGGTGCCTTGGTTCGCGGTGGCAACTGAGTGTCGGCGCTCGACTACGCCGTACAGTATAGTAGTTGACGTCTCGGGGCGTTCTAGTTTGCATCGAGCTTGCCAACGTACGGCTGGGAGTAGTAGTCGGACGTCTTTTCACCCCGCGTGCTTGACGCCACGGCTTGTCGCGAGGTTGCGAGGCTTGTCGGCCATGGCTGGCGCTGCCTCATGACTCAGGTTGCCACGACCCACTTTTTGACCCGAGCAGCATTTTCAGGAATCACGATTGCCGAATCGGGATGTGCATGTCGTTGCCGGAATGGACGGGTGGTCAACTGGTGGCATTTACCCTCCAGTTAGTCTATTTCGAGAAGCGACACGATCAAAGGAAAAAAAAGTCGATGGATACCCTATATGTCGTCTGGGCAACTCTAAATAGGGCCATCTAAAGAATGGCGGTGCGTTGTAGCCGGAGCCAAGTAACGGGATCTAGTAAACTTACACCAATCCCACACTAGTACTATCGAGAGTCTCGCACGAAAAGGGATAGGATACTACTAGTACAAGGTTTTTTTTTTAAACTTTAGACAGACTCCCCAGGTGCCAGGCCAGAGCAGACGCACGCCATTGGCCGCAGAGACTAGTAGTCGCCGGCTAGTTCGTTCCCTGGCAGTTTCTACGATAGGAATGGACGGCAAAGTTAGTTTTTTGACGGGCAGGCGGCCCAGTTTCGTCGCGCGAGTTTTCCCAAAAGTCACGGCTTGCCGACGGCCTTGGACGCCAATCCCCTAGCGTCAAGGTGCTTCAATGTTCCCACATACATACACACATACTACAATGGCGCCCCCTCTCATGACGGATACATTCCTCAGGAATCTGATATGGGGGCGATGAGCCTGCAACTTGGTCACTGGGCGATGTTTCTCGGAGGGCTAGCAGAGCCCACTGCATAGAGTTCCCTCCAGCAACAAGACTTGTGCCCCGTTGGTCCGATGCCAAGCAGCGCGTCTGTGGTCACGCCCGACGACTTCCTCGGGTTCGTCATGGAAAGTCAAGTGCCTCAACCTCGCACATGGCAGGTCAAGAGGTAGAAATCGAATCCTACCCAGCAATCAAGCCACTACGGCACACGGACAGTCGCTCCGGCGCCATCCCGCCGCTGCAATTGATCCGTTTGCGAGATTTGCCAAACTCCGTTGGTCTCGTTTGCCACCCAGAGCCTTTCTGATGTTGCAACATTGAAGGCTTTGGAACAAGACAAACAGAGTTTCCCACCAATCCATTCAGAGTCAAGATAGTCGCAGGATGTGGTGATCCGATGGTCCCCATCCCGATCCCACATCAACCGCCTCGAGAAGCATTCGATCTCCCATCTCGACACTATGCGGACTAGCAGTTTGGGCAAGGCGGCTTCTCGACGTTCCGTCCAAGACGGCGAGGCGGCTTGTTCCATCCAGATCCAGTGCCAACGACTCGTCTGGGACACCCATTGCGACTTCGTAGCTTTCCCGCGTCAGCGTCGCAGCAGCAAGGCCAGATTCGAGGCCTTGGGGCGGCGGTGGCGGCGGGCGAGCGGTGGGAATAATGGCCGCCCTTGTTCCCCCTTGAAGGGCTCAAAGGACAAGACAACAGTGAACTCTGCTGAGCCGCGGAATGCCAGCTCGTCCCTGTGGGCACGGCAGCCGCCTCCGTGACCCGCCGGGGGTGACAACGGCCGATGGACGATGCCATCCAGATACTCCGTACTAGTAGTAGAATGTGCGTGGAGCGATGGGGCGCGTCGGCATCTGTCTGGACCTACCTTGACGTCCCTTCCTCTCCATGACGGCCGGAGCCCGGCAGTTTGTGTTGTTCCAGCGTCAGCCGATGCAGCTAGGGTCCATTCCAGCGGGTCTCGACGTCCATCAATGGCATCGATACGATGGCCGTTTGTCGACGGCGCGGTGCTGTTCGTCTAGACGGGGGAGACGTGGTGGTCAAGCATGGCCGAATGCTTCCCCAGCCGCAGGACGCTGGCTGCCGAGTACCACGGGCCTAGTGCCCTTGTTTGATGCGTTGTTCGAGCCAGCTTGTACGTACATGTATGTACGAGACTGGGTGGTCAGCTGGGATGGGGACGGACAGCATCACGACGCCAGTCGGGTGCCATTGCGCACACGGCCTCCGTCCGGGGCGCCGTGTCACGTCGTCCCTGTGATGGTTGACCCCAGTACGTACGTACTCCGTACGGAGACTCTCTGCACCGTCCAATGTTGTTTCAATGCTGGCAGCGTGGCAGGGGGCGGCGCCACGGCCAGCTACGTGGCGGCACGACATGATGGCGTTTGCGCAGCGTCTGGACGAGCGATGCAGCCTCAGCCGCCGCTCCATGTGGCCCATGGACCCGGCCTGCCTGCGGTGCCTTGATGAGAACGCAGCTCACTGTCATGTGAGCGCGTCGTTTTTGTTTGTGCGGCAGCAACATACGATGGACATGTACGTGGGCATGTCGTTGGTTGGCTCCTCCGATTCGGGCCCGAGTCACGCGCAGACGGGCAAAATGAAGACAATCCCATGCCGTCATGTCACCCGTACTAGTTACTACCTAGGTATGTACATACGCACCTAGGTAGTTGGTTGTCAGCAATGTCTGGTGGTTCCATGCAAGGAAATACCACGGATGCAAGCTGACGCCCGCTCCCATCCGGCGGTGAGCGGCATGGGCCAAAACGCCCGGAGAGCATGGCACAAGTGCCCCAGAGAAGGGGATACGACCACAATGGATTCATGTGCCGTTGAACAAGACGCAAGAGCAAATATTCTGTCCCCGTACGGAGTAAGCAGTTCCATAGGGACCCTAGCTTTTGGCGCTGCGCTCCATTGATGATCCCTTCCATCTGCCTTGGGAAACCCAAAACAAAAAGAAAAGAAAAAAATGACGAGAAGACGCCCGCAAAACGTGCGCCCCGTAGCAAACATGCACACTGTATGTCTACCGTCCGGGCAAGGGGGACGCGAGGGCCAAAAACACCAGACACATCCGTAGATATGTATGCGCACAATGCAGGCCCGGGCAGCGCCACCCCCGAGAGTCAACGACGCACAACAGCCTTCCGCCCCTCGACGCGATGAATCAGAAAAGAGACCGAAAAAGCCGTCTCGCACTCTTGGCAGTCTAACAAAACCTCTGCGTGTGCAAACAGGCACAGACGAGCAGGCCGCCCACAATGTTGCCGTTTCTCACGGACGGGCACAATCCCGCTATATAGGAATAGTACCGCACTACAGACGGGCGGCATTGCGGTGAGAAGAAAAAAACCAAGAAATAAAAAAATCCCCTCATGTCCACTCAAGACGGCACCAGCACGCCAATCTCGTACCGGTTGGTGCAGGGAAGAATGCAAGCCCGGCCGCATCCAACTCCAGCTGTTGGACGGCATCCGTGATGCCATGTTCCTGATAAGATGACCCGTCCAGAACAGGACAGGGAGGTTGTTCCCTAATTGCCTCGTCGAAACGGCCCCCCCTTTTTTCCCAGTCTTTGCCTGGGGGCGGCAGCGCATGCGTGTAAGTGACGGGACGCCTTGCTGGTTGACATGGAGCGAGTAGACGGCGCGGCAGGGGGAGAATGGGAATACTTCGTACTCCGTAGTGGCCTGCTACTCTGGGCTCATGGGCACATGCAAACACACGCACACACAACACCCTCGTGCGTAATTGAACCGTCCGTATTGCAGATTGCTGGTGAGACGGGGAGGGATGGCGGTGATGCTCGGCGCAACGGCAGGGCAAGGCAAGGCAAGGGGGATGCCGCCGCACCACCAGCCAGCAAGCAAGCAAGCAAGCAAGTTGCATGTCAAGCAGGGAGCCAGTACGGAGTAGCATCTTGGACGCGGGCGAGAGAGGACAGCAGTACATATACCAGGCGCTACGTGATGGTGCGTGCCGCTGGCGAAGCTATCCAGCCTTTGGATATTGGTGTCGGGGCGGGGAGCATGGTCATGGGCGGTCCAGCACTAAAGCAAGCAGAAACTACACATGTACGTACATGGTATACAGAGTATGTACGGAGTAGTTGGCGTCTGTCGCAGAGGAGAATGGCAGCATGGCAGCGAGTGCCTCCCGTGGTCGTGGGTGGCCGTGAGCCGTGGCCATCAGTTACATGTACGGTCCCAAAGCCATCGACGTGACGAGATGTACCAGTTGACCTCAATACCACGCGTCTTGGCCCAGGGCCGAAACAAAGAACCAATTCGAAGGACCCGAGGCTGAGCCATCAACCGCATCTCGAGCAGCCATCACCGCCGCCTCGCCCAGCAGCCCCCGGATATCGCCAGACGCAACATTAAAGTGTCAATGCCTGTGCTCACGTCGTTTCCGCCGCCTCGGCCCAAGACATGCCCCATGCCGTCCCTCCAATCTTCTCTGGCGGCAGCATGGCTAAGCCCTGTCCCGTCCGGCCGACTCGCCACCTCCTCCATCCTTCATCCGCAGGCGTAGGCAAAGGCAAAGGCCAAGAAACGAGACGGGACAAGAAAAAAAAACTCGGCCTGTGGAACCCCCTTTCTCTCTGCCCACCACAGGCCTCGCCATCCAACAAGATCAAATCCAGAAGCAAGGCCAATCTCGGCATAGCCCTTGGCAGCCAGCCAGCGTCGCAGTCGCACCGCCATCAACATGGATTTCTGGCCCCTCCAGTCCTGCCATGTAGTGCAACCCGTCGTCGCCTTGTTTCATTCCGGCTAACTAATAAAAAAAAAAATATGCCGAGCCGCTAGCCCATGTACATACATGTGTACATAGATGGATGATGGCCACGAACCCCAATCCTCCAGTCTGCTTCCGTCACGAAAGAGCCTTTGCCAATATATTTTCCACCCGGACCCGGAAGGGGGATCCACAGCCTCTAGAGGAAGCGTTCCCACGCTGCCATG